CCTGCCTGTTCCGGTCGTAATTTTGAATCCAGAGAGTATTTAGCCTCTCCAGGATGATGTGGCTTAATAGTTTGCTTAGGGTGGAGACAGCAGCATGATTCCTTGCCATTTCTTCCAAAGACTTAGGTCGCTCTTCTTCACGGGTTTGACAAGATGGCCCTACTTCCAACCAATCGGCTGGTACCTCTCTTCCCTCCCTTCCTTCCTTCCTTCCAAAACTTTTGCAATTGTGGTGTGAGCATGCCCGCTGTTGTCTCTGTGTCTGTTTTCAGTGCTCCTGGAGGATTTCCACCTGGTTCTGCTGCTTACACGGCTTCCAGTAACTTTATGGCATTCGACACTTCCCTTCTGCTTTTGTCGGGGGGCTTGTGTTCGCTGATAGTTCTGTGGCTGGCTGTTCGTTATATTTCTGGACGAGTTGCAGATGGTGGTGGTGGCCGATCGAGAATTTTTTGAAGTGGTCAGCCCATCGTTTTCCTTTTTTCTCCTTTTTGGTATTTAAGTTCTTTTCACTAGCTTTTGCTACCTCCATCTGTGTTGATCTCCTTCCAGATAGTATTTTGGTTATTTGATAGTGTTGTCAGGCCTCTCCTACCTTCAGCCTGAAGCCTGTTGTGCTTCACTTGCAAGTGTGTCGTGGAAGTGTCTTTCGTCTTTGCGCAAACTCTTCTTCACTTCATTGTCCAGTGTAATGTTTTATGGGTTGTACTCAATTCCTCCTTACGTTGTTCATCCCTGCACTGCACTGGTTCATCTTCCTCTCCCTCCTCCATCAGCTTCCATGCTTCCATTGAGATCCATTCCTTGTCTTGTTGCTTGTTCTTGCTGCCTAACACGGTCATGCAGGTTTCTTTCCATATAGCTTTTAAAGAGTTCCAGTGTTCTTCAAATCAGGTTTCCTCAGGGATGTTACTTAATATCGCCCATTTGGTCCTGATGGCTAACGCGAAGATGTCCTTTTTGGTTTCGTCCTCCAGTTTCTGTTCTGGGTGTTGAACTTCAACTGTGGTCTGTCACCAACTTCTTTGAGGGCTTTCAACTTGATTTTGAAGCTAGGTTCCTTGCACTAGATATTGAATACTCTGAAGCACCTACATCTGCTCCTCTTTTCAATCTTATGTCCAGTGGGCTGCGTCTCCACTTTCTTCAGATTGGAATGATGTCGATCTGATTCTTAGTGTGTCCATCTGGTGAAATCGAATCCACATCACTGCCTTGTGAATATCCTTGTGTGTGTATGCACTGCCTGTAGTCACCAAATCGTTGAATGCGCAGAAATCTGCAAACAGTTCTCCTTTGTCGTTCATCATTTCATGGAGTGCTCCTCGATCCATGATTGTTTCTCTTCCTGTGTTGTCTGTTTCCAGTTTAGCTTTCATGTCACCCCATCCCACCCCACCCATTAGAGTTTGGATGTCACCGTCGCCAACTGGGTTGGGGTCTTGTCGAGTACTGATTGCAGTTGTCTGTAGAATTCCTCCTTCTCTTGATCTGCATTATTTGCAGGAGCGCAGCGCAGCGCGGCATTATATGATTGTGACTTTTCTTCCTTTTGAGTTGGATCCATCTTGCTGTCATGATCCTGCAGGAGGAGATTGGTTCCCACTGCATGAGAGATGGAGCCTTCGATGGTCTTGGGGACATCATTACAGCCACTCCGAAACTCAGTATATTCGTGATTGTGGTCTGGGTGACAATATCGTGGTAGATTATTGACTCTCCAGTTGACAGTTTGGAGAGTCTACTTTATTTCTATGTACTTTCGCAGATTCCTAGTACTTCTGTGCTGTATCCCTTCATCTTTTTTTCAATTTGGGTAGCCTTGCCAGTCAGCTTCAAACAGTGTACGCACATTCCATGTTCAGGGGTTTACTTTCTCTTTCATCGAGAGTGAGGAGGACACATCGGCCAATTGTCTTCTTAAAGGCGCAAATCAGGAAAGCAGACAGTTTCAAAAGAACTAAAGCTTACAGTTTACTAATGCAACCATCAGTAGGAGTCAGTAATATTGAACAACTGGGCTATAGTGTGAACTTGGTGTGATGTAATGCCTTTCGCAAGAGAAAGAATTATTTACTATGTGGAACCACAGTGATGTAGATGTTACCGAAATGGTCACTTGAAAATATTTAAAGTTTATTACAGTGACATTGCTTAGCATACGAAGTTCTAATTCACAAAAGACGTAATGCGCAAAATGTTGCTTGATCCTACGTCGCACACAATTATCTAAATGCTGTTTAAGTGAATGTGGATCCGTCATGAAAGTCAATTGTCCTACGAAGGAAACTGTATAAAGGCATTTTAGGCGGGAAGAATAAATTACCTTGGTCAGATTTCAAGACGATATATATCGACAAACAGAAGGATTAGACATATAGTCCTCGATATCTCAGGTCAAAGCAAATACTTTATGAGTAGCGGAGAACTCATGGCTTTAAGAGCAGTTAATCTTATCCTGACAGTATAGTGGAGATATATAGATGACACATTCACTGTTCTGAAATCTAAATATATCCATCACTTCATATGCATAAAATAAGTGTTAGATTACGTTGTCCATTTTTGAGTCAGTAGAAGAACAACAAAAATGAAATATTTTAGATTTTAAAATTAAAGAAAAAAGTGGCAGTTCACACGTAGGTGTCTACAGAAAACCATGGTATTCTACTAAATACCTAGACCGAATTCACTTTACCCTATATCAGTAAATGTAGGTCTGGTCAAATGTTTGAGTAATTGAGCTAGAAGTCTATTAAATAAGTCAAAAAACGTTGACAAAGAGATAAAACAATCAAGAGAAGCTTTACTTCCTAATAATTATCCTATGGAGTTCATTCGAAATTACAAGTAAGCAGAAAAAAGTAATGAGGTCAAAAATGATTGCAGTAAAGCTAGGAAATAACCCAAGTCCTTTAATGTCACATAAGGAAGGGATATCGGTTTCCTAACAAGACTAGGAGACAAACTTTGTCAGCTTAGGCAGTATATTGATCGAATCAGGCACAATAATTCAATTTACCAAATAATTTGAAATGACTGTGAAACCAAGTACTCAAGTTGAATCAGCCTAACAGGGTCAGTGAGGTTAACACAGCATAGAAACGTGGATCAATATAGAGTGGTTGATACAAGTAAAATAAGTTGTTTAGATTTAAGCCACAGCTACGCATGCAATGACAAACAACCACACAATAGACGTGAAATGTTTTGCAATCCTAGGAACTATTATAGTTAGGTAGAGATGGAGGTTGATCCCTAAATCATTGTCCACCAATTCACTGACCAACACGTGAAGTCAAAATGACACAATACCAACTCCAGATGTAAGGAAAATTTTAACATCAGTCAGATCGAAGAATAAAAAATAAGAGAAACATAAGATTAATACAGGTGTAAAACTTGGGCACTGTGGTAGAATTTAATGCCATACTACATTTGTTTATTTGATTTATAACACACAGTGATCCGGTATGAGGAGCGAACCCTGATCAAAAAGGCATCTAGTAAATATTACCATATAACTATGTGCTATATCAGGTAGGGGACTGAATTCTACTAGAGAGCCCAAATCCAATACTTACATTAAAATTAGGCCCTAAATATAAAGTGGTTAGAATGGCAAATGCATTTACTAACTGTGAACCAAAACTACAGAAATTTATCCAAGAAAATATCTGCTGAAGTTGTTAAAAGGCTTCATGGCTTCGGTAACAAGACCTAAACGTTATACTCCTTAGCTATCTCCACATCTCAGTTTTAATTATTCTGGTTATTACAACTTATATGAGTATCTTCAAGTGGTTTGAAAAAAGCACTTATATTTCTTAGGTGTGATTGGTACTTCCTTGAAACTGTTGGTTAAATGAACAAATATACCAACCAAAAGGGCAGAATTAAATTTTGTCGATGTAAAAATGCATGGTTGAATATCTTCATAACGGTCAATTGACGAGTCAAAAAAGCTACCATTTTATTGAGGTAAAAAGAATTCGGATGCTAAATCTAAATTCAATATTAAATCAACCTTTTGTATTTGTATGACTTTTCTATGACCGTATTATGTCAAAGAAAAAGTAAGCGTATGGAAAGACGCTAACACAAATGCCCTTCAGGTAGACTTAGATATATCGATAGATTAGTCCAAACGTGGATCCCTAGAAACTATTTGTACAACTATCCACACTGATTATGATAAATGCTCGCATTATTCCATCCAGTGTGTATCACTAGCCCCATCTTAAAATTAAGGTTTGAATTTCAAAGTCAGATATGATGAGAAATCACCCACAAAATGCAATTCAGATTTCTCAAAGGGTGTGTTTCGATCCATATACAGGGTGTTCACAAGCATTTATAAGATGGTTCAAGAGACTGCACGCTACATACATGAAATCTCAACTAGAATCTTGATTGCGAGCATCCAGCCTAAGCCTTAAAACTGCTGCCAACTTTCCTGCACATGTAAAAAAGGAATATATTAAGCTTGTATACAAGTTTAACACATACTTCTTAACACCTGAGGCTTTCCGTTCTGTTGTATGAGAGAGAATTAGATCAACTGAAATTATTTCCGTTATCTGTAGGTAGGAGAAACATCAGTTTTAAACTGGTATTCTATATCTTGAGTATTTCCTAATTTCCAGCTGAGATTGATTATTTCCGTGGCTGCCAGAAGGAGGTTCAAAAACCACGGTAGAATATACACAGACTGATTCCTCTTGGGGGTAATCAACAACTGGTTATTTCTATCTTAGTAAGAAACACCTGTTTCGGCGAAAATCTCCCAGAAATTACAATTCAATAGTTCTACAAATCCTCGCAAAACTTTCTACTCTAAGGACCAATGCAAGAAAACTGCCAAACTTTCTTTCTTTACCAAAAACATAAATTAATTTTCAATGAGTTGACAGCAAAAGGAGAAGGAAAAATGCAACGGTAAGCATAATCCTAACCAGGATATTTCGTGAATAATTTTTCATAGGATAACTTTGACTCACCCCAAACAATTCCAGTTATGTATGAATTGAGAGCTTCTTCAATAGGCAGTCGGTAGTTTTTGTCTGAAAGAAATAAAGTATTTCTAGCATCAAAGTGCAAAACCAATTTCCTTCGTGGATTCTCATTAGCCATTTGAAATGCGAAATGATTCCAAACAACCTTGAAGAGGAACCATCAACTTTGACATTTGACATCGTAAAACAATGAAATTCATTCCGCACATACTCAATTAAATTTATCAACATTACCATAATTGCATGGGGGGATATCGAATCTCATTCAAAGTCTGATAAACTAGTTTAGTCCTGACGGCTTTCCATAGCTTCACACATCACTTTCAACTTTGCAGTTTGCTTGTAAACATCTCCTGATACTGTTTTCACAGTCCTCTTGTGACTTAGTTGCTCAATGAGGCGTAAAACATCTCTCTATGAATTCGGCTCCAAAGGTTGACTGCGCTATGCAATTATAATTTTTAACGGTTATGACGTTCATTTATTGAGTTGATACTCTCTTTTTATCTCTTTTAGGTTTTCTGACGTAGCAAAAGGAAAAGAAGAATCTAATCAGGTGCCGAATAATATCTTAGCGTTTTTCATGGTTCGATTAGGTCACTGTCTGTCCACATGATGAAAAGAAGCGAGTTAACTCTTGAAATAGTCTCAAATATGTCAGGTCAGTAATCTCAGTAATCATACTAATGATCTGCTTCTGAGTTCTTTTCAGAAGGTTTGAGTCACATTTCAGAAGTGGGTTTGAAATTATGTACATTATCTTTGTTTGATTTAACAGATGCTATTTATTTAGAGGTGGACATATCACTAGAGCCGTAGCAAAATTTCTACGTGGTACTGCAGTTTAGTGAAATCTGGAGCTGCCATTATTCGGCAGTATATTGTGGTCCCCAAATGGTGACCCGCGATTACTCTCAAGTTATTGTGAATCAGTACTGACAGTAGAACGGTGTCATAGCTTTTTATCGTTTGGCTGCTCTATGTAAGCGGTTACATATTTGTCTGTCGATCGAAACCAGCCGTTTCCATGATCAGTATAACTAACTTTCATGTCTGCCTGAAATGTGTGTTTCAAATTTCCATCCCCTGCTTCCTACCAGATTATGATATCACCGGCGTAGGGAATCGCAGGTGGTTCCATGATACCCAGCAGTTCATGCGTGCATAAGAGAAAGCCTGAGACTTAAAACTGCTTTATGACACTTCAAATTGCCTCACTTCCTAGGGAAGGAGTCTAAGTAACACCTACTCTTCGTTCCCTGCTACAGAGGATGTCTAATCACTGCGAGCGGATCACCACTGATTCCATAGCCTTCCAGTTTAAGGATCAACCTGGAGAGGGACACCTTATCAGGTAACTTACTTCAGTCCACGAAAACGGTACCTACAAGCTTTTCATTACACTCGGTATTTTCCCAACTTTCTGCTACCGTGTAAGGCCTTGTGGAGTGTCAGTAGCTTCTGAAATAGGTGTGTTGCAGACTAGATAATAGGGCTTGACGTTTTCGGCCAACCGAAATTAACCCCCTGGACTAATGTCCTCGAGGTTTTAACCGCAGTATTATTCGGGCATATGGAGATGGGGGAATATCACCCCAGCAGTCTGTATTTAAGAAGAGCCGTAATGACTTAAATTTAATTATTTCGGTCTGAAAGCAGGAAACAATCCAGCGGGACCAAACTAAAGCGATCCCGTGCTCTACTGCATAGACCCCGAAATCCCGCGTGTCACGCAAAGTTAAAGATTGGTTCAAAAACATCAAAACATGATTTGTAGTACACCCCTGGCACTGTCGAGCAACAACAAGTTATATCTAAATCACAAGAGTTGAAAGCGTTCTCTGTCGTAAATACGTACTATACAGCAAAAATTGTTTGACTACGTACAACTAAGTACCTGAGAATCACTATAAATATTCACAACAAAATAGAATCAAAACTCTGTGTGCAAGAATCAAATCAATCAATAAGCGTTTCCAGTAGACAGTCAAAATATAGGCGGTCAAAGCACAGTGCAGCCTCAAGTTGAGCCAAAACAAAATGTCGGGAGAAGCAAAACAGCGCCATGTTGTCAACAGTACAGCACCTTACAAGTGCAAAGTTAGGCATTAAAGACAATCCTCAGCCAAAGAAAGACAAATAATGAGCGTCAAGTCAAAGAGGACAAACAAATGGCAAAATAACGCTACGTCGGCCAGAGTTTCAGGCATAATATCTATACTGTGGTCAGAAATACTCAAACAGCTATCGATGCTCTCAAATGGAGAGCTCAGAAGGGATTTTCAAATCATTTTTCCCATTACAGACGCTTCGTGGAAATTGTGTCATGACCTGGGTGGGGGTCGCATTTAAAAATGTAACGCAGATACAGTCTATAGTACCAAAGGTGACTGGTGAATGCATTGGCTGACTTGCCGTAGGTCACAATACATAGTATCAACTACGAAATCCATGGAGAAAGAATATTCCAGACACCATGTTCACCAGCATAAGGCGGTACATTCCTTGCGAACTGACCTGCTCATGCTTCCCGACATAGTATGAAATCCGAGGCGATTATCGGAAACTTCAACATTTTCAAAGTTTACTGGATAGCAGATAGTGGTCTGAAACACTTTCTTTAAACACTTGCTGCCACGGATATCCTCCAATAGAAGTAATTCGTCCACGCAACTACTTGTGGATACATGCTGGACTTACGACTTTCCCACGACGTCACAGCGAAAAATACTGATGTCGACAATGAATTTCTCAATAGTGATTACAGACATATGCCAAGCTGTACACGTGCCCCAGCATCCAAAGTATATAACAAACAAACGTGTAGAATACTGGATACCTCGGCAGAAAAAGTAGGATTGGAAGACGCATATAAAGTTCCCTCTGTATTCTTCAAGGCACAACCACTTTACCACCGACTGTAATCTCACAGTTCTCTTCTTTGATCTGAATGCCATGTCGTGTCCGAACACTATGACTCCTATGCGAATAGCAATACTGCACAGTAACCACCCTGAATAAATTTCACTCATATTTTGTAGGACGATGAAGCGATTATCCAATGTATTCAACTCCAGTGAGGATTTCTCTTCAATAAGCCCAGTCGGTGAAGCGCTTGAACTGGTCGAGAAACTACGTTCACAAAAGCTCAGAAGGAGCAGCTAAGTGTCCTTACAACTTTCCGTAGGTCGCGCACTTTGGCATCACGACTGAAACATTTGGCTAGCATAACATACGCATTACTTTCTTCAACTATGTAGTCCAAACAAAACGGTCATGATTTGCGAACTATCGAGCGACTGGTTAGCGATTTTCAGTCTTAAGGCTCCTGCTCACGTCAGGAATCCACAGCGCCCGGGTAGACACCTCGCAAAGTTGGTGTCTGCAGAAAAATATGTGGGAACTTGTTCGAAGCCTCAGATCAGAAAAACAGTGGGGATAGACTGCCTTACTCCATTATCTATCCCGAAGGAATAGAAGGCAGGAAGTTTCTCTCATCCTTCTTGGATTGTTTTAATCTGTCAGTGGAAACTGGCACGCATTAAGGTGAATGAAAGCGAGCTCCGCAGTTCCACACGGTGAACGGGGAGACAAGAAGGGTATCTGTAACCGCAGACCCACCACTATGGCCCAGAATAGTGAAAAGGGTTGTGAACGACGACAGTTCTGATGAATAGACAAATAAATATTTCATTCTCACATTATTTATAATTTAACATGAAAGCGGCCAGTTTACAGGCATCATTACGTTGACACATGCCGAAAAACCTACAAGATTTTATGGGTCCTGAATGGCACAGAGAGGAGGTCGTTAAACTATAAAAAGGGTCAGAAGATCGCCGTTATGAGACAAAGAAAATACCACCTTACGGCATATGCAGGATGTCAAAGTGAAGACAATAAAAATTCCTATTCTCACATAATGGATTTGACGTGGTGGATACCGGCTTACGGATGCCATCAAATTGATAATTCTTGAAAATTTGCAGAATGGTATCTGGTATTATATAATCCACTTACTAAGTTACTGATGTCCACAACCTCATTAAAACTGGCTGCAAATCATGAGGCCGGCATGGGTTTTTACCTGGCATTGCACAGATAGGTTCCACTGTCAATAACAAAAATGTGAGACGTTCGAAGTTTGCATTACAACCAACGGTATTGTAAGTATCCACCGTTGTTTAACCAATACGAACATCCTCATCGACCTGATTCTGCAACTTCTTGGTTGCTTCAGGCTCCCTAAGATAATCCCGTGGAAGCTGCCTATAAGCAGGTAATAGCTATGCATGCCATTTCGGCCCGTCCAACCCCACTAATAGTAGCTACGGTATAAAGTCGATGCTATGTGCATCTTCAGGTTAAAGGAACTTAAGATGGTCTCTCACACAAAACACATAGAAGAGTTGTATGCAGTACTTATTCGGTCATTGCCCTGAAATAATCGAAATTCAGCTGTACCTACTTCTAGAAACGTTACATTTGGGATTACACTCAGTTGCGTCCTCAGCCTTCTTTAGTTTGTAGCCTGCATTACGAATTTTTGAAGTCGCTTCACAACAGGTAAAGCAATCTGTGCTTCAGTGACCTGGATGTCGTTTGTTCCTGTTATGTCGTGAGCTCAGTGACACCGTGTCTACTACTCGACATACAAATTAGTGGGGTTGCTTTGTGATTTATCAACCCCCGCACAACTCAAAGTTGACACTGGTGACAATAAGCTTGACTTGACGCCTGAAACATGTTGGCGAAATGGGCCTAAATGGGCATCCTAGTGCTTTTGAAGAACTTTAATATTACCTATCTGTCCACGGGTTGTTTTAGTAACCTGTGTCCACAATCGATAGCTGATACTTTATTGTGGTGATCAGACTTGCAGATAAATAAACATGGACTTGTCTTCAATCAGTAAACTCCTAGAAGATAATGAAACATTTGGAACCCTGGATACATTCCCTTTATCACCGTCAAATATACTTATTCTCCAACCTATGAAAACACAAGCTGGCTGCTGGACAAAATGCCTCTGGTTGTTTTGTGTACAGTTTCAAAACTGTGAAAACGTGGAAGTTATACTGAGGTTTGCTGCTAAACTCGGTACTAGATCTCCCGCATTATGAAGTTTGTCCTACGACTGGAACGGTTATTTCTTTCTAAAAATTTGGTGCCTAGATGCTGCATAAATATTCTTTC